ACTGCTCTTATCTAATGCCTGTCTTGAATAAACTTGAAGAATTAAAAAATAAGTGAAAAATCTCTCTGTGAACTAGAAATGATTGAGTAATTATTAACTCATTAGGTATTCACAGGCAGAATAGAGACAGGAGTAGAAATATAACAGCTTCTCTCTGTTGTTTGCTCACCAGACTTAAATCTATCACAGTGAGTGCCTGATATTTTCTTTTATACTAGGTGACACTAGGAGACATGGGGACACTAGGGGACATTGGGACACAGAGACACTGGGAGACTAGGGGACTTTGGGAGACTAGGAAACACTGAGACAATGTGGACACTGGCACACTGCGGACACTGAGAGACACCAGGGACATGGAGACAAGGGGATACTGAGATATTAGGGACACTGGCTGGAAGACATGGGGACACTGGGAGTGCCCCATGTCTCCCATGTCTCAAATTCACCCAGTGTCCTCATGTCTCTCAGTGCCCCCTAGTGTCTCAGTGTCCCCATGTCACACCAGTGTCCCCTAGTATTTATATCCCCATGTCTCCCAGTGTCCCTTTGAGTCTGTGTCCCTATGTCTCCCAGTGTCCTGATGTCACTAGGACACTAGGGGACACTTAGAGACATTGGGACACTGGGAGACATGGGGACATGGAGAGACTACGGACACTGAGAGACACATGGGGACACAGAGAGACATCAGGGACACTGGGAGACATGGGGACACTGGCTGGGAGACATGGGGACACTGAGAGACTAGGGGCCACTGGGAGACATGGAGCCACTGTGTCCCTAGTGTCTCAGGGTCCCCATGTTCTCCAGTGTCCCTATATCTCCCAGTGTCCCCATGTTCCCCAGTGTCCCCAAGTCTCTCATCGTCCCCATGTCTCGCAGGCTCATAGCTGCTGTCTGGACTCTCTATGCAGAGCTGCTCCCCCGCGGATCAGTGAGTAAAGAGAGGCAGATGTTGTAACTTCTTATCCCTGCCTCTCTCCACACAAACAGCGACCCCTACTGGCTGGCACTGGTATTGCAGAATAATCTCTGTTTATACTGAGATAGACATTTGTATTGCCGGTATTACTGCAATACCGGCACCTGCTAGGTAACCTCAAATACCTGATAAATACTTCTGAGAAATACCTCGCAACCATAAGAAATACATGAGAAATACCTGGCAACCTTAATAGTATTGTGTTTTAAAAAAAAAAAAAATATTTTTTTTTTAAATCAATGGGCCTATTCCATGGGCCTGGGCCTGGGCCTGGGCCTGGAGCTGCAGCTCCATCAGCCCCTATGTTAATCCGGCCCTGATTATAGTATATTGTTTAATGAATCTGACTAACAGGTGCATTTCTAACTTGCAAACATACACGGGGCTGGAGCCCATAGCAAAACCAGATAATGTATCCAACAAAACACCACCTTTTGACACCCAAACATTACCTTTTAATTCATGCAAACACTTCTGTGGTGCATAACACCTTCTTTCTCAGACTCCAATCATCAAAAATCTAGTAGCACATTCTCACAACTAGACAATAACTAACATGCACTGACATATATTCAGAAATTTATATAGAAATTATTATCTCTTGCTATTAAATAGTATTCCAGACCCTGCAGGAGTCTCCTGTGTATGTTTAAAGTTCAATTTACAGAAATATTCTAAAGTAAGTTAACATCTGGTTAAAAAATTAAACCAATTTATTTGCAAGCAGGCCCTGGATGGATTTTACTCACTATAGTGGAGGTTCTGGAGAACTGACTAGGGAATAGTTCATAAAAGCCATTGTATTAAAATTATTTTCCAGCTCAGTTAATTTTGTTAATTCTTTATAATTACCATTTGAAAGAATAATTAACAATGCACTAAACTTTACTAACCTGTTTTTTTTATTAGCAAAACAAATGTTCATACCATATGTGAAAAATATTGAAATTTACTCGAGCACATAGTTCTAACCTTGCAGATACATAAAAAAAATATTAATTTCCATTCTTAATTTTAGACTGGATCTAGCAAACTGGTTATGGGAGTTACACCAAGATTAGTACAATATGTGGCTAATCACAGGGAAAGGTGCAGCTGGCTTGTTGGAATATGTCAGCACACAAGATTAATGATTGGAAACTTGTAGACATACTTGTCACACCTGCGTAATGAGCTATTTACAACTCTGATAAACGCATCACAACTTCTGTTTGCACTTATTATCGCAAATAAATGTGGATTACTTTTTAGCGGAAACAAAATTCAAATTGCTGCTATTAAAAAGTAAAAAAAATAAAATAAAGTAATTTAATTGCAACAAATGTCCAGTGATACTTTGAATCCTTATGTTAGAAATACATTTTGTGATCTAGCGGTGTTGTGTATAGCATTTAACATTTATATTTACATTAGCTGTAGATTTGGGACACATAATCATGGTTGAAAAGCAAAAGAAAAATACTGGCAAATAGCCGTGGAAAGTAATTTACTGTAAGTATGAACTGATTTCCATTTGTCCTAGTTAACGGTGGGTAATATTTAAAGGATCACTCTAGGGTCAGGAATACAAACATGTATTCCTGACCCAATAGTGTTAAAACAACCATCTAGCACCCCTGGGCCCCTCATGCCTCCATAAATATAGCAAAATCTTAATGTATTCAAGCCTGAAGCTGTAGATCTACATACTGTTACCTCAAAAAAACAAGCAGTCTGTTGACATTATCAGAAGTGGTAGTCTGATCCAATCACAGTGCTTCCCCATTGGATTGGCTGAGACTGACAAAGAGGCAGATCAGGGGCAGAGCCAGCATGATTCAAACACAGCCCTGGCCAATCAGCATCTCCTCATAAAGATGAATTGAATCAATGAATCTCTATGAGGACAGTTCAGGTTCTGCATGCAGATGGAGGATACACTGAATGTTTGGATGCATTTTAGGTAGCCATGACCCAGGAAGGATCTCTAACAGCCATCTGAGGAGTGGCCAGTGAAGTTATCACTAGGCTGTAATGTAAACACTGCATTTTCTCTGAAAAGAAAGTGTTTACAGCAAAAAGCCTGAAGGTAATGATTCTGCTCACTAGAACAAATTCAATAAGCTGTAGTTGTTCTGGTGACTATAGTGTTCCTTTAACAAAGCTGAAATGATTTTCAGAGACCCTGCTTTAATATATATTAAACATTTTATTGGTTGTTACATTTCTTTTTAGCTAATTTTGTTTTGTTTATATTAGCAATAAAGTATTTTTCATCAAATTGTTAAGGACCATACAGCTTAAACACCTGGGGTGGTGTTGCAGTACAAATAGACACATTGCAATCTAAAAAGAGCCCAATATAATGCTCCAATGCACATTTTGTGTTTTCAATTAATTTGGTTTAAGAATACTACACTATATCTTTTTCTTTTGTTCTTATTCATCTTGGGAGGGAAGTAGTCCCTTGCACAAATATCCAAAAGTGATCAAGTATTGCTGAATTCTAGGCTTGGGTCCATGAGTTAGCACTTGGAGAACTTTGAAATAGAGTGTATTTATATTTCTACTGTACCATCTGCACTATTGTGTGTTATATCACTATTTGTTTTAATAATTGTCTCATTTTGATATCAGCGCTTTGTTTTATTCATGTTGGTGTTTCTGATATATATATATTTTTTATTTTATTTTATTTTTTCCATATTTATTTTATTTATTTATATTGTTTGAGACACAGATTAAAGCATGCTACTAATTAACATTTATAGCAATGGAATATGTTGTTGTTTTTTTTTGCAAGTGTGAACAGAAATTTAGTTCCTTTGATATACTTGGTAATTGTGCAATCATTTTTTTAACTCCTCTCATGTATGTGGATGGAAGGACTCTCTGAAAAGTGTTGCCAATTGTTATAAAGCTTCACTTTTAATGATAACAGTGGTTTAAAATCAAAGTTAAAGGGACATTCTAATCACCAAAACAACTTTTTTTGTTGTATAGATTATGCCCCTGCATTCTCACTGTTAAATTCGCTGCCATTTAGGAGTTAAATCACTTTGTTTATGCAGCCCTATTCACACCTCCCTGCATGTGAAATCCTATACACTTTCAGTATACACTTCCTGTAAAGAGTCATCTAATGGTTATACTTCCTTTATTGCAAATTCAGTTTAATTTAAAATATTTTATCTCCTGCTCTGTTAATAGCTTGCTATACCCTACAGAAGTCTCCTTTATGTAATTAAAGTAAAATTTACAGAGCAGGTGATGGAATCTTTTAAAGTAAGCTACATCTGATTGAAAGTAAAACCATTTTTTTCATGCAGGATGAGTCAGTCACAGTCAGGGGAGCTATGTCTAGAGCTGCATAAAAAGAAACAAAAATGATTTAACTCTTAAATGGTGGTGAATTGAGCAGTGAGACTGCATGGGGAATTATCCATTAACCAAAACTGCTTCAGTAAGATAAAGTGTTTTGGTGACTATAGTGTCTCTTTAAGTCTCAATTTGTCTACTAAAACTGAACTTGCTAAAGCCTTGATCTTGTTTGGATCATCAGCAGCAAAGATTCCAATCTGTTAGAAAAAAAAAGTCAAATGGTTTATCTACATAATTCTCAAGTTTATGGGATCTATAACCTATAAATCATATGAATGTCTCTCCAACAGATAGTAATAATTTCTGAAGATGATCTAAACAAATGAAACTGAGGAAGTTAAATAATTGAATTTCTCTAAAATCATCTATGTTTGCAATAATGTTTGCAATTCCGATTTCTGTTCGCTATAATTCTGATTTTAGTGACTACCTCTAAAAGTTAAAAATTTTAGTGTTATTCACTGCAAAATATTTATCAAATCAGCTCTGTTTTCACTTAATCTTTTTTGTGTTAAACTTGAATTTGACTTTCAATGAACTTTGCATTCCCGACTAGAGATGTCGCGAACCGTTCGCGAACTTCCCGCGAACGGCTCGCCACAGTTTGCCGCGAACCGTTCTCGGCGAGCTCCGGTCAGCTGACACATCCCGGCCAATCTCCAGCAGACCCTCCCTCCCAAACCCTCCCACCTCCTGGACAGCATCCATGTTGTCCAGGAGGTGGAAGGGTTTGGGAGGGAGGGTCTGCTGGAGATTGGCCGGGATGTGTCAGCTGACTGGAGCTCGCCGCGAACGGTTCGTGGCGAACCATGGCGAGCCGTTCGCGGGAAGTTCGCGAACGGTTCGCGATATCTCTATTCCTGACTAATCATATTTTAGTGATTGATTTTTTCTTCTATGTTACTTGTACATTGCTTTTATTCAGCCATTTTCTACCTAATTCTGCAACATAAATGCAGAATAATTATGAGTATGATAACCAGTCTTTAAGATCTATCAAAAAGCAGTGAGATCAAGAAAAGTCTGATCTTATTGGTGCTAGAGAGACATGTGCATGTGAAGTTACATGTGCATTACAATGCAAAACAGTGACAAATGGGTAATCATGTCTAACACACTAGAAGATTGTTGTCATTTTCTTGACATTCTCTAACCTTTAACGGCTCCGGCCCTGCAGGTAAGCTCAGATATATCCATCATGATCTAAATTCATAATAGAGCAGTTACAGACACAGTGAAGGCATCAATACCTTACTTAATTAAAAATATCATCAACTGACTTTTCATTCCATGTGAAAAACTATACTAATATTATCTACAAGGCCACCTACGCGACAGGCTATACATGATGGAAGATGTCCTACAGGCATGAGTTTCTTAGCTATTTTTTAGTTCAGCTTAGTAAGTGTCAGAGAGTAATTTGGAAATGAATGGATAGAGCAAATTGCATATGTTAACTGATGGATTGCAGGGAGCACGTCTTGCTTTCAATATATATTTTGTCCAGAGTTTTAAGACTTGGTTATTTAGAACCTGGCAAGTTGTTTTTCTAATAAATATCTAGTAAATATCTGAAAAAAAACCCTCTGCATTCCCCAAGGGGGGCCATCAATGTTTCAATGTAAAATAATTTGTCTCTTAAACATACAATGCGGCGGAACTACCTCACTGGCTGCACTGGGGTATACACCCTGAGGGGGCCCATAGGGTGGCTCATGCACTTAGGGCCACCCAGTGGGCATGTGTCCTCAGAGGTCCTGATTTGTGCTGCAGCCCTTTAACAGCAAACAGTGCTGTGATGAAGTGATAGCTGGTCACTTCCTCTCAGCTAACACACTGAGCCACCCGGAGGGAGAGGAAGGGGGAGAGACCTGGGAGAGCCAGATTTTTACTCCCAACAGCCCAAGCCAGCAGATGCCACCTACCTGCACCCAACAGGTAGGGAACAAGAGGGTGGCTAAAGCCAACTTGTGTGTCTGCATATGTGTTGTGTGTGTGTGTGTATGTGTGTAAAGACAAAAAGGAATTGGGGGCACATCTGGAACATGTATTTTGCAGGAATAGTGCTGCCACAGTGACCAAAATTCACACATAATACATCTTAAGTACCAGTGCACACATAAAAATAAATGTTTAAATCTTATAAAGAAACTTAAAATTGCCTACCTCAGCAAACAAATATGGGCATTCAGTTCTACCATATGGCCATATTCTATTAAGCCAACCACTACCTCACATTACCCCAGTGGTTCCCAAACATGTTAGGTTCAAGGTGCTTTATATTTTAATATTTTTCCAAGGCGCCCCAAGTCAAAACTATTTTCTAGGTTGTATATATGTACAGCGCAGCAGCATATACTGGGCCCCTGTTCAGCAAAAATGCTTGCTGTTCAAGCACAGATCCAGAACTTAATCTTGGGAGGGGCACTGGTAGATTATTTAAAGAAACAATCCAGGCACAATAACCATTATAGACCTTTGTAGAGGTTATGGTGCCAGTAGTGCCGTAGTGCTCTCCCAGAGTAAATAGTCAAACTGTTTAAGAACTAGCTATGAGATACAATGAAACTTTCAATGCCAAAGAGGGTAGCAACATACAAAGCTAATAATTTTTATTAGATAATACTAGTGAAATTTCCCAAATTCACATTTATATTATACACCAATTTTTATTATTTTAATAAACTAGAAAATCATCACACATTACTGTGCCTGATAATAATTAGTATACTAAAAGGCCCATTTTAGCACCATTTTGATTTGTCAGAATTGTATTTCAAAAAAGGATCAAATGGACTAAATTTGTCCAAACCACATGGACGACACCATTTGTCGCAACCAAAAGGTGTTTTTTTTGTTTTTTTTCGATTCATATGAATAGATTTTTTTTTAGCTGTGCACAAGTCTAATAGTAATACTATATTGGAATGGTTATGATAAGATTGGAAATAAATAGCTTTTTCCAGCCTTGACTGATGGATTATTTACAGCAATAAAGCACTGAGTGCAAATGCTGCAATCATGTCATATTTTCTGTTTCATAATATTTTTTTTCATTTTTTTCAACAAAGCTGTTTTAGCTTTTTTATCATGAAAAATGCATTTGCACTAATGGAACAAAATCCCACTCTGAAAGGTACAGTAATGCAAGTATCAGAATTTAAAGTGCAAGGACAGTATGCTCAAAATAAATATTTTATCACAGCATTTCAAACCACATTTATTCAGTTAAAGAAGCTTAATAATGGTTTATACATTTTGCATTGCAAAATCTTTTGTGCTTTTCCTTTATGCTTTGTAAAAGTTTGGTTATAATTCATAATGATCTATTGTTTGAAATAGAGAAAATAAAGTTTAACCCCTCAAGACCAGGGCTTTTTGGAGATGCAACATACTTTGCCCTGTGTTCAATCTACCATAATTTCTCCCTTTCTGGTTAGGTGCACTCATACATACTGTACTCATACATATCATTTTTTTTTTTTTAACGATACCCTTTATGTATCCGTAACATAAGACTAAATAGAAATAAAATAAACATTTTCTCAGTTTTAAATTGAATATTTCTGCACGCCGCGTGCATCTAAAGTAAACTAACTCAAAATAGATTCCTTAACTAGTCCTGATTGTTAAATGCCTAATATGTCTAGGATTTTAATACATTTTTTGAATTGATAAAATAAATACTGTGAATTACAGTTTTAAAGCTGAAACTTTGAAAATTTTGGTTGCTGAAATTACACATTTTATGGTAGTCCCAGAATTTAAAATTGCTACATCCTCCAGGCTATGTCACTAAGGGCATTTTGACTCTTTTAATTTAACCATTTTATCACAAATTTACGTCAACGTTTTGTGGGGGGTTTTCACACGTATTTTCTTTTGGAATTTACAGACCATCCATGTCTAGCAACTGCAAACACAACATAATAGTATTCTCGAGTACAATGATATCCCACATGTATACCTTTTCCCCTAATCCTGCCCTAATTATACCCCTAATCTTGTCCCTAATCCAACCCTTTATGCAACCCCTAATCCTACCCATAATCCAACCTGTAATACTACAAGTTATTCAACCCATGATCTAACTCTTTTTCCTATCCCTAGTCCAATCTCTAATCCAACATCTTAATCCAACCCTTAATGCTACCTACACTTGTCAGCAGCGGTGTATTTGCCGCGAGGCAGACAATGCATTTGCCTTGGGCAGCCCTTTCCAGGGGGCGGCAAAAAATGCTGCCCCTAAATGCACCGGCAAATGCCTTATTTGCCTCTGCGCAGGCGGCCAGGTGAGTTCCATATTCCAGCTCCCAGCATTACTTTGTGGCACGCGAGGGAGCTGAGCAGGGAGAGCTTAGAAATCAGCATTCCCTCCCTGATACCATGCGTTCATTCTCTACAGACCTGGTGGTGTTGCAGTTATTCCAGTGCAGCCTACTTTACCATTTTAGACAGGAGAGGCTGATAATCTCCTGCACTCTAAGTCCTCTTCGACTTCTGCCAAGAGTCCTGACTGCCCCTTACCTCTGGGTCAGTGGGGCTTATCCTGATCCCTACCTGAGACAAATGAGCATTATTGAGCCTTACTCTTATTATCACACATGGATGAAATATGTCTGGGCAGGACAAGATGGTTGACAACTGTAACCGAGATGGACCAGGAATGTGTGAACCCTCTTACACATGATTCAACTCTAGCTGCTGTCTTGGAGCATTATCTGTTAGCAATAGACATGGGATTCCTCATTTAAAATTAGTTTAGCCTATTGTCCTGTGGGGATTCTCCTTTAAAATGAGGTTGTTGAGCATATTACATGTATAAAATATGTTTTATGCATTAACCTCAATAAAAAACAAACTGCCAAAAAAAAATTAAACACAAAATTCATTTTTGTGATATACAAGCATGAGTAAAGTCAGACATGATGTTTTCATGATCTATCCTTCAGCCAGATACTGGGCTAAACCAAACTCAAGCAAAAATCTAAATGTATGACAGAGGGTTTGTTCTGATGAAGCATATACATAACATTCTTGGAACAACGCAGCAGACCCATGTAGAGCTGGAAATAACATAAGTTTTCTTACCTTTTAACCCCTTAAGGACCAAACTTCTGGAATAAAAGGGAATCATGACATGTCACACATATCATGTGTCCTTAAGGGGTTAAGGAAGGCAAGGGGGGACAAGTCACTTAAATGGTGTGTCAGTGAGTGAGTGAATGTCTGTTAGTGAATGTGTGTGTGTGTCTGTGAGGGAGCTTGTGTGTCTGAGTGATTGTGTGTCTGTGAGTGAGTGAATGTGTGTGTCTGTCAGTGAATATGTGTGTGTATGTCTGAGTGACTGTGTATGCCTGTCAGTGTGTGTGTGTCTGTGTGTGTGTGTCTGTCAGTGAGTGAGTGTGTGTGTGTCTGTGTCATTGCATATGTGTGTCTGCGTCATTGTGAGTGTATGTCAGTGAGTGAGTGTGTATGCATTATTGTGTGTGTATGTCAGTGAGTGTGCATGTCTGTCAATGATTGTGTGTGCCTGTCATTGAGTCAGTGATTGGGTGTGTCTGTCAGATTGTGTCAAATCAGTGAGTGTGTGTCAGTGTATCTGAGAATGTGTGTCAGTCAAAGTGTGTTTCAGTCTTTAACAGGAAGAAGTGTGGCCTTGACACAAACAGGTGGTGCAAATGTAAATTAGGGGGTGCCCAAGTTCCGTCATGCCTAGGGCAGCACAGATCCAAAATACACTACTGCTTG